TAAGCATGAACTTAGCAAAACCTTAAATCCCAATAGACAGGCAGAAGCAGCAAATTAAAGCACCTTCTTCCTTGTTGAAACCTGATCAAACCTGATGTGTAACAGCCAAGAGCAACTGCAACCCTGGAAGAGTCTTCTGAGCTGATACAGAACTCTGTTAGCTAAATGATGTGCTTAATTTGTTTCAAAATAAAGCCCTGAAGACATCTGAGATGTTTCCTTTAGTTAATGAGATTTCCATGATAGTTACAAATATAAAATGAGCAAACAATGCCTTTAATCTGGGATTACAAGCTGCACCAGGGCAGAATTAGAACCATAAATCAAGAAGATTATGACACTTTGCTTTCCAACAAAGTAGCTGGATGGAAGCTCCATGCTGTGTTTTCCTCAGATTAAGGAAGAGGTGTTCAGGATCTGCACTTCAGCCTCTAACCTGGAGTATTTGGGCATGAAAATTAGGTTTATTCAAGTATAAGCACTCACTTCACCCATACACGAAATCTTACTTATATATGAACTACCAATAAACAACTATCACTGCTTCACATTTTAAAATCCAAATTATTTGCCATTAAAAGCCTCAAATTAAATCACAGCAACTTTATACACCCAATATTTGGCTGTTCTAACCAGCAGTGTGAAACAGGGATAAAAGCCATCCCCAAAATAGGATTACATAGAGCAGCAATAAAAGGGGAAATAATCTTGGAAGAAGTGATGGAAGAACAAATTCTAACAGCATTAAGAAGGAACAAGTCATGGTCTCAATCACCAGCCAGGCAAGAGATTGCTAATCTCATGTGTGCAGCACAGAAATCTCTGAGGACAACAAATTGCATTGGAATTTATGGACTGAAAAGGTTAATTTTTAATACTCTCTGTTTCTTCAGAAAACAGGAAAAGTGCAGGCTGAAACTAATGAAGGCATGGAGTTCTCTGATCCCACAAAACCCTTCACAGAGGAAACCACCTCATGGTTAGTGTGTGCTACTGGCAGGGATTGAAATAGGATCCATTCAAGTAGTTTATTTCTTTTGTTATTTAAAAATAAAAGTATTACTTATTAGTTTTTATTATTTTAAGACAAAAATCATGTCCATTTAAGTTCCCTGAACTCAAAGGGAAGTAGCTGCATGATCAGCCCACAGAACTCATAGTGACCTATTGAAAACCAGCCCTTTAATTCATGAACTTGTCTATCAAAGAGTGAATTAAACACATATTCAATGAAACACTAACAAGCAGTTAGTTCTTGGAGATAGTTTATTGCAGTTTCCTTCAAACCCAACACAATACACCCAAAGAAGGTGCAATTCAAGAGGTTTTCTCTGTGGTATTTAGCTAAACCAGAAGTCACCATGACAACACATGGGTAAAACATGATATGAGGCAGAGGATGATGTGCAGTATTTGTAACACTTGGAAGACACACAAATTGATGATAAATACTTTAAAACTCTGAGAAATAAGAGTTAAATAACACTGAGAGAGACACTCTTCCATGAGCTGTGCATGAGGCTCCCATCAGCATCCACCATGGATCCTCTGCACTCAAGTTAATTCAATACAGGATGTTTTCTGGTGCATAAAACAGTGAGTATGAATAAAAAAAAGCCTAGTATTACCACTCGACACATCTGGACTGAGCAGTTTATGCTCCATGTTGGGTTCAAGGCACAGGGGGAATTGCATCCACTGTTTTTAAACCAGTTGTGCTCCTGTAATGAGATGTGTGTTCATAAAAACTGAACAGTCATCCCATTGATATCTGATCAGTATTTGTCTTCCTGTGACTTCAAGTTACAGCTAAAATCAGGACAAAAAAATCAGGATAAAAGTGGTATCTATTTGGAAACAATACAGTGAATAATAAATATTATTGGCATGTTCCTTGTGACAAATCACTGACAAAATACATCAGAAATAATATGCAATAAATTTGCTCCCCAAGCAACTGCAATATTCATGGTTTTCCAGTCATCCAAGAGCAACATCCAGTGAAAATTTCTTCGTGGAAAGGATGGTCAGGCTTTGGAATGTGCTGCCCAAGGAGGTGGTGGAATCACCATCCCTGGAAGTGTTCAAGAAACAACTGGACACAGCACTCAGTACTCTGGTCGACTTGACAAGGTGGTGATGGTCACAGGTTGGACTTGATGGTCTCAGAGGTCTTTTCCAACCTCAATGATTCTGTGAAAAGAGGAATTGTTAAGGTTGAAAAAGGCCTTGAAGATCATCAAGTCCCTGGCCTGTAGCACTGTGCAGCATCAGCCTCAGCCACCAAGTTGGCAAGAGCAACAGAACTTTTAAGAGAAATAAATGATAAACAGAAGTTATGTGAAGCTTAAAGGTGAATTAATTATAACCACAAGTTAGTGGAGTTTAAAGGTGAATAAATCATAACCACAAGTTATGTGGAGCTTATCAAAGAGTATTTCCAGGATATGTTTTTGAAGCAAATGGACTTAGCTGCTTCTGCTTTAAAAAATGCTAAACTGCCAAGTACACTCAATACAGGGACTAACTTGGTGCTCAAGTTTGACTTTTAGGGGAAAACTTTAGGATTTAAGCATGGAAACAGCCCAAAGTGGAGAAGGCAAACCCAACTGAGTCCCAGAGCGAACACAGAGCTACTGTAGCAAATTTATTCCATGAAATGAAGCTATTTAATGGCAGTTTAAAGACTGGGATGAACATAAAGCCTGAGTTTAAAAACTTGGGCATTCACAGGAGTGAAGAGAAGTTGTGTGTTTGGCTGGGAAACTCTCCTGGCTGAATGGTCAGGCCAGGTTGGGATTTTTAGCAGGGTGTAATTAAATTCCAAAGGGTGATGTTTTTGTGGCAGGATAGAATGGATTCCAAGTGGTTGCCCTGCAAATCACAAAAGGTGCAGGGGAAGAGTCTGTGTACAGCTTGGCTCTTGCTGAATAAACTGAATAAACTGAGGACCAACCTGGCTATGCCTAATGAACAGGAGAAGGTGTGGAGGATCTGAGCACAGCTCTGACAATAGGCTGGTGGCAAAGGGAAAATATAATGCAAAAACATCTTGGAGAAGGACTTTGTCTAAACACAAAGCAGAGTTGTTTGGGCTTGGAGTGAGCAGGGGTGGGAAGGACACAAGGGAGGAGATAAGACAGAAAAGGATGAAGTTTCCCAGAAAAACTTGCACTAGGTTCACGCTCTTAGAAATACAGAGGTGATGATTTGCTGCTGCAAGACTGAGGGCAGAGCTGCTCATTGACTGAGTTAATAGTTGAAAATATATAGTGCTGCATCCTTGTGTACAAGGGAAACATTAGGCATGCACAGAAAATAAAGCTCTAAGCTCCAACCTGGATTCAGCATCTCTGACAAGGCCCATTAAACCTTTGGGGCTCCTTGAGAAACTCCATCCACCTCCTGCTGCAAAGGACAAGGAAACAGCCACTGGAAAAGAAAATTATGCCCAATTTATAATTCAAATGCCATGAAACTCCTTCTGAAATGCAAAGGTGAACAGCTCATGCTTCCCAAACAATTAGGCACTTCCATTATTCACAGAAATAACTGACTTGTTCTGCAACCCAACAACTCTAACTGCAGCCACCATGGGCTGACTGTGTTATCCTGTTAAAGAAGCTGAAATGAGTCCAGGATAATTCTGGAGTGGAGCTGCAGTTCCAGCTCTGATCAGGACTCCATTTGATTCCAACCCCAGTCAGTGCCAGCTGTGGCAGATGGAAGCACAGGAATACTGCAGCAGACACAGAGTGAGTGAACTCCTAATCCTGCCTTGAACCTTGAGAAATGAGAGTTTATTTTCCATCTAATGAAACTCTGGACACAATCAGGAATAAAGTCAACTGGAATGAGGCAATTGCTGCACCTACTCCCCAAAACTGAGACTGCTACACAAATACCAATTAGGAAACACTTCCCTCCTAGAAATGATAACTTTGGGGGTTAATTCCTCTGTTTTCCCAACCTCAGGTGATCCTGTTCTTTGCTTATTGGACAAAGTGACATATAAGTTTGATAGATTTGTGTTTTCTTGCTTGGCAAGAGACAGTCATGAAGCTCTTTTTAGAAGCACTGACTTCCTTTCCTTCAGGGCTTCTCAAAGCAGGAGGTCTGCTCTTGTTTCCTCTTGATTACAAATGCTTCAGATATTTGCAGCTAACACTATACACGGGACTAGATTCCTCTAAGCTCCTCAACCTGATTTGGAAGCATCTGTTTCCAATAAAATTTGAACTGGAGGACTATTAGCAAGATTGGATTCAGACCTCAATCAAGCCAGAACCTGGGAATTAATGTCATGTGCACACTGGCACTGCAATCCCAGGGCAGGGCATGGGGAGGGGGAGCTTTGGGGCCAATATAGAAGTGGATTTTCAGAGTACATCACAGGAGGCATCTGCAAACATGTACATAATGCACTGTGAGGGTCATCAAGATCAAGTTCTAGTGAGGCTTTGGGTAAATAAATACTGCCTGGTTTATGTTTCCAGCTGGGGGCTGGGGCAGAGGAAAGTCACTACTTTGTTCATCATGGAATAAACCTGAATCCCTGTGGTTTGCTCACAGAAGAAACTGTAAGATTGGAAGATTCATAAATTTTTAAGTGGTTGGAATGGACCTTAGAGATGATTCAGTCCCAACTCCCTGACCTGGGCAGGGACACCTCCCACCAGAACAGGGTGCCCAAGGATTTATCTAACCTGGCTTTGAGCACTGCCAGGGTTGGGGTAGCCACAACTTCCCTGGGTCATCCACAACCTCCTCTCTCTCTTTCCTTCTTTCTCTCTCTCTCTTTCCTTCTTTCCTTCCTTCTCTCTTTCCTTCTTTCCTTCTCTTTTTCTTTCCTTCTCTCTTTCTCTCTTTCCCATTTTAGAGAGTCCCAAAGGCCAAGTACGTTTGGAGTTCAGGAAGGCTCACTGTGAGGGCAACACCTAAAGCAGCAGAGAGGGGTTTGTAAAACACACAAGTGCACTTACAAACCTACTTACCTTTTTCTACAGCTGAGGAAATCTCCTGCCCAGGTGAAAGACACAGGACACAGAGCCACAAATGAAGGCTGACATTCCAATCATGTCAAGAGAGTGCTGAGAAAGAAAGGACCATGCATTTGGGCCAGAATCCTTTCAGGCATTGCAGAGGATTAAGCTGAGAGTCCACAGGCTGATTTTGGGGACACAGCTCCTTTCAAAGCAGTTCAGTGCTGCTCTACAAATGACCAAAGAGGGCTAAGAAGGCTTTCATCTCTAGCTCACGACAATGCAGATCAAAACCAGTGCCAGACTTTGAGGATGACACTAATATCAATCCAGTCCTCCTGCTAAAAAAGCTTGGGAACAATAATTCCAACCCAAACTAAACAACTGGAGCTCTAGCCACTAAAAAAATGAATCATCCTGTCTGGAGAAGCCAAATAGTCATTTTTCACAGCTTAAGTGTTGATAGTTTGCTCACTCTAGCTGTGTTTTGCAAACAAGCTGCTTCCCTGCTGGGCAATGCTGCTGGACTACAATGATTTCCCTGGCATTAGTAGGAATTGCTGGAATAGCCTGTGAATGTTCCTGCTGGAACAGCAGCAGCAGGTACAATTGTCATTTTTCCACTCGTATTGATTTTTGGGGGCACTGTGTGGTCACCATGTGGCTGTTTACAGCATTTCATACAAGCAGAAACACAACATGTTATTTCACAGCAACAAACCATCAGGACACAAAGGACAGGATAAGCCCAGGGAGCTTTTTTTTCTCCACTTTAGGCATAAAAGAAGCAATTTTGTAACTTCTTTATTTTGGCCCATAGGTAAAACACTCACGCATACGATGGGTCCAAATCAAAGAGGGTAAATTAGGTTAGATATTAGGAAAAGGTATTTTCCTGTGAGGGTGGTGAGACACTGGCACAGGTTGCCCAGGGAGGCTGTGGCTGCCCCAACCCTGGCAGTGTTTAAGGCCAGGTTGGATGAGCCTTGAGCAACCTGTCCTGGTGGGAGGTGTCCCTGGCCAGGGCAGGAGATTGGGACTGGGTGATCGCTAAGCTCCATTTCATCCCCTAAAATTCTATGATTTCTAAATCATTATTAAGAAGTCAAATTCCTTTAAAGGACACAAAGCCTTGAAGACAATTTTGGGTGGGATTTCCTTGGACTGGAATCAGGTAAGAACTCACATTATTTCCTGGGATTCCTGTGCTCTGCCCTTGGCTCCTCAGTAACATCTGAGAGAGTGCAGTGCCACACAGAGCTGCAGTCCCTGGTCCAGGCTGCCCAGGAATTCCTCAGGCTGTGGCTGCCTAGAGTGACACACAAACAAATTAACCAAGAGAAAACATCTGCTGCCGATTTGAGGTTCCTTTCTATTTGCAGTACAAATATGTAAATGGAAAGGTAGAATTTCATGTCTCTTTTCCTTGGCAGCAATGTCAGCCCCACCTCTTTTTGCTGGGCTCTGTGCCCACCTCTGCTCACTATCAGAGTTGTGCTTTGTGCACCAACTGAGAGTAGCAGTGGAGGAGCTGCAGGGGAACTCCATTGCTACTGAGAGAAAATGTTTATACTCACCTTATCTCTGGTATTAACCCCTAATCAGTTATGATAAAACAACAAAAAACTAATCACTAGAATATAATGTAAGTTCCTTTCAACATCTCTTGATTTAAAACTGCAAAACAATCACATTGGAAATGTAAATTACTGAAATATCTTGAAGGTATTTATGATTATATAGATTTATTTATGCTATTGAGATTGATGCCATCTAAGTGCTGTGCTGGACAAATGTCTGTGTCCATGGTTAGTTGATATCAAGCCTTACCAAGACTCACCTATTCAAACACAGACTCCACACAAGTCTCCACAGATACCTTCAAGACAACTTGAAACTGGCAGAAAATCCTGCAGAAATCTGGAGCCACAGTACATTCTGTACCTGTAAGATGCTGTTAGAGCCCTGCAGTCCCTTGTATCAGTGGGACAAATTGCTGTAAGCCCTTCTAAGCCTGTCCTAAAGACCTGTAGTCTAAGCAACACTGACTTAGCTCCACAGGCTGCACTTGAGATCGAACACTGAACAACTTGTCTCCTGACTGCTCCAGAGCTGGGTACTGCAAAGGCTCTTGTTAAGGTCCAATTCCTCCCTCTGCATCTCTGCACATCCCTGAGCCAGGCACTGGCAGCCCAAATGCATCACAGCCTGTGTCTGTGTTCAAGAGGAGCAGCAGGAAGGAAATCCCTCAGCACTGACCTATCTCCAGGTTTATCATCAGTTCCATATTGAATGAATCTGCTTTATCCCTATTTAGTCTGCTGGGAGGCATCTGTTTCCCTTCAGCTTTTTGTTCCCTCTGCTGGGCCATGGATTTTCTTTCAGAGTTTTTTCTTTTGCAGATCGATGAGTTAATGGTTTTGATTTGATACAATATGAACAGAGTTTCTGTCTTCCATTTCAGTCGCAACAGTAGTCTATGGGTAGGCTGAACACTCCAGCTACTGCCAGGATTGTCTGCAGCACAACCCAAGGAATTTCATTCCCTTGGAATATGTTCTTTAAATGTCTATATTGAAATAGAACACGTGAAGATGTCAAGATATTTTATGCTATAAGCAAATAAAGTCCTGTTTCAATCAAGGTGGAGGAAACCAAGTGAACCTTGCAAAGACATAAGGATTACTTTCAACCTCCACAGATTTCCATAAAAACCATGGAATAAGTTATAATATGGAACCAGATTCCATGAATTTATTGCATTTTTATGTCTATATAAACTGAAAGTTCTGCATGGGAAATATTTGCAGATGTGTGTGGGTCAGGAAAGAGGGGGGGAGAGGGAAAAGGGGGGAGAGAAGAAAAGGAGGAAGAGAGGAAAAGGGAAGAGCAGGAAAGGGGGAGAGAGGAAAGGGGGAGAGAGAGGAAAAGGGAGAGAGACGAAAAGGGGGACAAATAAACACAAATAGTTTGAAATCCCTTAACTGCATGAAAATGTTACTTCATGATCATAATGTCGATGACAAACACCAAAGCAGTGCCAAAAAACCTCAGTATCAATGTAAATATTTGGGAAGTTATGCCTTGTTTTAGAGATGGCAAATCAGTGAACAGAATACACAACTGTTTTCTCTCCCAATGTGCAATGATACAGTTTGAAGAGGATGAATGAAAAAGTAGGAATAATGAGAGATTACCTGGATTGGCAGTTGATTTGCTAAATAGCAGCCTAGGAAAGAGGTGATGAGATCTCCAACCAGCCAAGCCAGCAGGAAGCCCCAGGACAGTGCTTGCTACTTTCTGACAGGCAACACCAATTTGACTGAAACAAATTCCAGGAGTAACTGTAAAACAGTGCAAGCAAAAAAGGCTGAATAAGCTCAGAAGGTTTTTTTTTTCCCAAATCTGAATAAAGACAGATTAAAACTGCAGCCACAGGAGACCTCTCACAACCAAACTCCACTCACCTTTTGAAGTAGAACTCAGTATCACTACAGTTCCCCATGTCCTGCTCCAGCACAATAAAAGACACAAATCACAAGCTCATTACTGCTTGCACATGCTCCTTTCTTGTTGCCTGCACTGAAACACCTTTTGCTGGGCACCAGGACTAAGCATTTTGCACTCACCTGCTGTAAATATCAGCCTTTGGAACAGTGTACAAACCTCTGATTTCACATGGAAAGGGCTCAGAATGATCAGAGTTCAGAACTACACTTAAGCCTCTAATTTGGAGAACTGTGATTCAGCTTCACCATCCCAAACCTGAGTCCATGAGACATCCCTTGATGAATTCCACACTCACTCACATGACACTTTGAATGGAAATCCCTTTCCAGCTAATATTTCAGCTCACATTTCTGAAGCTCAACAGCTTACTCAGAGTGGGTTTATTTCACCTGATTTCCACAGCCCTTTTACCAGTGCAGTAAATTGTATCCCCCTTATGGGGACGGACTCTGGAGTCAATCCCATTCTTTTTCAGGCATTTTAACCTGTTGGGATCATTCTTATTTTTCCTTTGTCATCTCCTACCACCAAACCTGAACCCAGTGAGCAAACAGCAAGTGATTGAGCTCTGTGGAAGTGCCAAGTCCATGTAGTACTTTCAGTTTATATAGACATAAAGTCAAGTGCTGCTCCTGACCTTTTCCCAATCCAAATTGAATTGGCAGGAGCCAGCAGAGCAGTATTAGTGACAGAACATGGGATTTATATAAACCTTGAGCCTGCTGCAAGTGCACACACAACTCAGGGTGGGGAAGATAAGGGAAAAGAGGTGATTTGTTCTCATTTGCTCTAAGTGGCAGAGATTAGTGTCAAGTCAGTACAAGAGAACACTACATCAAGCTCATTTGTCAGCCACCAAATATTTTGCAAACATGAACAACATGCTTCCCTGGCACATTCTGCCTGTGTTATGCAGATAGAGAAGCACAGCCAGGATAAAATGAGGGGAAAAAAGGCAGCTTTGGAGAAAGGCTTCAGGCAAGATTACTCATGTTGGAATCTGAGGACTGCTTAAGATTTTAAACTTAGGGTAGTGCAGCAAACAACAACCAGACAATGGCAATCAGTGCTGTGACCACACTCCCACTCGCTCCATGCCAGGAGAGGCCAAATCCATGGTGTTCCACTTCTGCACAATCCCCTCTTCTCTACTGGGGAGCTAGTGCCAGCATGTGTATGCAGCTGAGGAGACATCAATCCTGGCTGGAGATTCAATCCCACAAGTTTATTCCTGTCTCCATTTTTACCCCTTCTAAATCCACAAATCCCTTTACCACTGCGAAGATCCTTCACATCCAGGCGGATGTTGGATCTCACCCTCAGCTCCAATCCCATCATCAAACCTGCCAAAGCCAAAGGAATAAAGAGGCAGTGTGACTGAGGCATTACCCACACAATGCTGCTCGCATTTCCTGCTTTCAAGTTGCACTTCCAAGAAGGAAAACCACTTTGTGGTCCATCACCTTCATTAGCTCTTGACAAAGAGGCAACACTGCAAATCTGTGTCACTGTCATTTCAGTCTGAGGCTGTGGGAGCTGAGACTGACACTGAAGCAGGATAAATCTGCTACAGGAGGAGATAAACCAAGGGATTTATTTGAATAAACCAAGGGATTTATTTGAATGTAAGAGCAAAACCCTGATTTTCATGTTCAACATGATGCCAATAAGGCAACAGGACTTTCCTTAAAGGTATTAGCTATAAAGAAAGGAACTTACCTGCTCTAAAGGTATTAGCTCAGGTTCTGGACACTCTGCTCACTCCTACAAAGTATAAATGCATTTATATTTATAAAAAATATTTATATATTGGTTGCTTGCTATGCAACTCAAATCAAGTTGTTATGAAAATGAAGTAATTTGCTACTCAGACTCCAGGTGAGCTCTAAGGTCTACTAAAGTCTATCCATATCAGACTCACCAGTGATTCAACACAGTGTCAAACACTTGGCATTATTTAACACCCCAAAGGAAAGAAGGAAAGCATAAACAACATGCAGAAGGCAAATAGAGGGTGAGCCTGTCCCCAAAATCCCCAGAATGAAACAAAATAGTGTATCACAGCTGAAAATTTGAAGAAAGGGAAGGTTGGGCTTGATTTCTAAAGATATTTTCTTGTAGTCAGTGATAATAATTCTGGATGATTC